CATTCATCATTCCAGGGCTTGGGGAGATCTAGTCAAAAATTACCTTCTAGATAATTACAAAATGGCTGTCAAGCAGATTTATTATGAGTAATATACCTCTGAATTTAAATAGGGTATATTTCTTTTTAATGAATAAACCAAACCTGTTCCCGCCAAGTCCATTCCTATGCATAGTGACGCTATAGGACAGAGTAGAACTGCCCCATAGTGTTTCCAAGGAGCAGCTGGTGAATTTGAATTACCGACCTTTTGGTTAGCAGCCAGGCTCTTAACCATTGCACCACTAAGGCTCCTTCTAATGAATAGCGGCTAATATATTGTTAACAGGGACTTTTGAATGACCAATTCTGCATTATATATATATATATATGTAAAAAAATAAAATTAGGCATTCTAAGTAGTCCTTCAGAGGATTCAGATTTTTAAAAATCATGTTTTAAGGACTTGTTTTTCACATGACTTTTTTTTTTTTTCTCTTTTTTTAATAAAGACGGTGGGAAGTCTTGTTACTCAGAGTATGGTCTGGGGATCAGCAACATCATTATCACCTAGAAGTTTGTTAGGGAATGACTCTCATCCCTAGTCTCAGACCTGCTGAATCAGAATTTGCATTTTAACAAGACCCCCACCCCCCGACCCCAGCCCCGTAACTTTTGTGCACACGACCATTTGAGAAGCACCGTGTAAAGGACTGTGGGCAGGAGTTAGACTGGAGACCTGTGTTCTAGTCCCAGCCCCACCACCTCCTTACATCTCTTATCTCAGCCCATACAGTTAGTCTCTTCAGCCTCGGGACCCCACGTGTAAATGGATCATGGTTCCTGCCTGGTCTGTCACTGGGCTGTGGTTAGGAACTGCTGAAATAATATACAGGAGATTACTTTGTATGTTGTAAAGACCTGTGCAAATGTGCCTGGGCGGCGGGGGGGCGGGTTGGGTACTTTCAGTGCAGTCAGTGAGACAGAGGCATAATATGCTGACCATGCTATCTAATTTTAATCTATATTTCTAGACTCACAGCTATGTTTTTGAGAAAAATATGTTTTTCCTTGGTGGGCAGACCAGGATGTGAAACCATATGCATCGAGGGGTCTTGACCAAGTGCCATCTGCATCCCCCAAAATACACGTACTTGACATACTAAGGAAGCGTGTTGTCTGGGTGTTGTTGCCAGCAAAGTGTTTTTTCGAGATAGACAAAATACATGTCAGCATCTTGTGACCATGATCTAAGCATCCTGTGAAAGTATCTGTAATCACTAACTATGCTATTAATAATCAGTAACCAATATTGTTACAGTATTCATTGATTTTCCTATAACTGCCCCCCCCCCATGGTTTAGTACCTCTTTTTTACCTCATAAAAATACTTGCATGACAAAACTGCCCTGGACTACATGGTTCCCTTTCAGTGTGCTATGTAGTTCCCCAATTGCAATTGTTTTAAACCCTCCATAAACCTCTGTTTTACTTTGAAACGGCGTTCAAATTTTTCTCTACAACAAATGTCAGGGGATATTATGATTGATAATGCTTGCATTTTGTACTCAGCTGTTATTAGACAATCTGCTTTATATTAGCCAGATCATGAGCTGAGCAAATACTCAACTGTAACCATTCATCATGCTTCTAATAGTGTCTCGGGAGATTTCACTGAAGTCTTTCCGAAGTCTCTCTCAGGCTAGTCTTCCCAAAGCTCATAATAATAAAATTACATTCTGTTTTCCTTAAAAAGACCTTTCAAAACAACGTGCCTTCCTGGCACCTTGAAAGTGTTCTGCCTGTTGAGCCCAGGAGGTGCCTTATGGGGCACAGTAGGTGCTTGATGATGCTTGTTATTAAACCACTAATTAGCAGTCAGTAAGGTCCAAACACTCCCCTGATGTCCTTCACACTAATCCTGCCATTTATGATCATCAGATTATTTACAGCATTAGAAACGCAACAGAGCTACATGAGGACTCTGTGTCTCACTAGTATTTATCAAATATTCACTAAGAAATAGGCTCCCAATGGCTGACAGATTCTTTGGTAGTACACACAGATTGAAGTACGTGAGCTCATTAGCTGTTTATGAGCATCTTTACTTTACCTTGAAAGGAGGATGAGGGGTCAAAGAAAAAACAGTAGCAAAATATTACTCTTTTTTCCTTGCATGCATTTTAAAAGGAAAAAATTAACGGCAAAAAAGATATTAATAAGTAGCTGAAATTTTAGGAAACCAAGTCATCTAAAGTCCTAAAATTGATAACAGATATTAACATATGTGTTGCCCTTGGGCCCCCCAATGGCTGGCTCCTGTTCCTGAAATAATGGATGTCGTTGTTGCTGTTAGCTACGTTCCAGTTGGCCCTGACCCATGGCAACCCCACGCACAACAGAAGAAAACGCTGCCTGGTCCTACACCATCCCCATGATTGATTGTGGATCAATCCATAGTGTTTTCACTGGCTGATTTTCAGAAGTAGATCACCAGGCCTTTCTTCCTAGTCCATCTTAGTCTGGAATCTCTGCTGAAACCTGTTCAGCATCATAGCAACATGCAAGCCTCCACTGACAGATGGGTGGTGGCTGTGCTTGAGGTGCATTGGATAGGAATTGAACCCCGGTGTCCCACGTGGAAGGTGAGAATGCTACCATTGAATCACCCTGTTCCCGTTGTAGTAATGGATAAACTGAAAACCAAACCCGTTGCCTTTGAGTTGATTCCTACTCATAGAGACCATATGGAATAGAGTAGAATTGTAGTGATGGGTATTGACTGTCAAACAGTGAACATGAAACATTGAGAAGAATGATATACTTCCCCGCCAAACCGAGGCACAAAAATATTGCACTCAAATTAGATTAGACTTTGCATTATCTACAGTTTGTGAAATTAGAGGCTTTTGGTCCCTGATTTACTAAATATAATAAGACTATGCTACCTGTTTTCTTTTTATCTAATTCATTGCAATTAGCAATGTTCTTTCCAAGCTTTTAAAACACTCAGAATGTCAGTGCTTCAAAATTATTGTCCTTCAAGTTAAAAGTCAGTTATAGTAAGTTTGTATAGGAGGGAAAATAAACACTTCTGCCTGTACATGCACAGATAAAGTTTATCAGAGTATGACCCTCCAAAGCTGTTGAGTTCACCTCTAACACGTAACAATCCTAGTACGTTGCCTGTAGGTGTTTTATAAGAATGTGTTCAATCAAAGCAGGTAATAGCCACAATTTTGCCTTTTTGTTCTTTTTTTCCCAACTTTTTATCTTGAAATTTCAAATCTAGAGAAAAATTGTCAGAATAATGTATTGTATATGGAGATACATCTAGAATCACTAATTGTTAACATTTTTGCCACATTTTTCTCCCTCTCTCTGCTCCCCCCTACTTCCGTCTCTCCCTCCCTCTTAGAACAAAGAAGTGCTCTTACTTAGCCACAGCAAAATTATCAGATTCAGGAAAACTTAGCACTAGTAGAGTGCTCTCAACTACTACATAGACCTGATCCAATTTTTGCCGCTTGTCCCAGTAATGTCCTTTATAGCATTTTCCCCTTGATTCCAGATCCAATTGAGGATTACACATTGCATTTAGTTCTTGTCCATTTGATGCACTTTTTCTTTGTCTTTCATGACATTGAAATTTTTTGAAGAATACAGAGCAGTTGTTTTGTAGAATATTCCTCCAATGGGTTTGCCTGCTTCCCCACATTTATATTAAGATTATGCATTTTGGGCAGAAATGCTAAGTAAGTGATATATTCTTAGCAGAGCATTACAGCAGTGACACGATGTCAATTTGTCCCACTGTTGGTAATGTTAACTTTGGTCACTTGGTTAAGATGATGTCTGCCAGATTCTCCCTTTGTTAGTAATAAGTAATGTTGGGGGGGGGTATTCTGACACTATTAATATTCTGTTCCCCAATAAATTTCATTCAGCCATTTCAGCACGCATTCATGATTCTTGCCTGAATCAGTTATTACTGATTACTGGTTGAAGATGGCTTCTAATTCTTATATTCATTTGAATTTATTAGTTGGACTTCCACTATAAACAATGGTTTTATCTTCTACTACCTCTGTGTGTTTATCTATCTCTGCATTTGTTTGGGAGCATCAGTAGAGACCTGTGGATTCTTTTTATTCAAAAATAAGTTATTACTCATTACCCTCATTATTCATTTTAATGCTCATATTGTCACAGATTTGCCCAGTAGCTACTCCTTCAATCTTCCTCTTAAGTTCTTTTGACATTTCCCCATTGGTTTGTGAATATCATTTGTTCTTTAGCCCTTAGCGTGTCTATGTTGTGGGTTCATTCGAGTCACTGCCCACATGACAGATTTTATTCTTGCAACAAATATTTTTTGAGCCATTGCTATGACCCAGTTACTGATCTTACTCATGGTCCAGTGGAAACCAGGCAATTCAATTGGCCATTACAATACGGTGAGTTATGATAGGAGGAACCATGAGAACATGAGGAAGATCTCCAAGCCACACTGGGTAACATAAGGAGGGCTCCTGAGAGAATGTCAACACTTCGTAGACCTCAAAGATGATTAGAAATAAACATGTGAGGAGGAGGCACAACGTTCCAGGCTAAGGGATGTACATATTTCTTTGAGGAACCAAAGAAATGTGTTAATTCTGGAATAGTGTGAATGTGTGTATGTGATATGTGGGGGTATGTTGGGGACTACACGGGTGCAGGCAGTGGGAGACAAGAGTCTTGTAAGGTTTACTAAGGACGCTTCCAAATTGCTGTCCCTAGAGGGAAGAGCAGTTCTAACCCAGGCTGCACATTTGCATCATCTGAGGAGTCTATCAGAAATATCAACAGAGCCCCTATCTGAAACCAATTAAATAAGGATCTGTGGGGTGAGCTCTAGGATCCATGCATTTTAACTCCCATATGTAGCCTCTAGAGAATTTATCATGAGAAATGATCTCAGCTGTCATAGAGCTAACCCCTTCAAAGCCCAAATAAAAAAAGATTTGTTTTATTTTATAGGATTTTGAACTTAACAACGAATTAAAGATGAACGTCCTAAATTTACTAGAAGAAGTTTTGCGGGACCCAGACCTTCTTCCCCAGGAGAGGAAAGCCACTGCAAATATCCTGAGGTAAAAGCAATTGCAGATACCTATTGAATAACATTTCTTTGATTTGTGCTGTTTCTATATAAAATAAGATCCTATCAAAGCAGAATGATAAATCCTAGAATCCTGGGGTATCAAGGATTCTAGTCTCACTGGTAAGATAAGATCTATCATCTTCCTGTTCCTGAGGGCAGGTTGGGTCTGCTGCCTCAAGGCAGACTTCTGCTTCAGAAGGTTCCCTGGAGTTAGGACTGGGTTACCTAAATTGCATGGAGTATAATTGCACCTACTTGTGTGGGGGTCAGTGGTTTACTGTAGTGCCCACAGTTAAGGAAGGAAGCATTGCAGATCTTCTCCTGGGAGTCCAGCAGGCATTGAAGAGAGCTGCTTTTTTTTTTTTCCTCTTTCATGTGGGTTCTAATTGTTTACTGTAAGCTGGTATTTATAAGCAAGATGCTAAGTTTTTCTGTGCTGCCACAAAGTAGTTCATTACATGGTTGTCTGTCTTACTTGTTTCTGTGGTCCTAGACCAATGTTTTTGTCAATGTCTTGACTTAGGGTTTCCACATTACATAGGTTCTATAAATGTGGGCCCCACACTTTTGTATGTGATAAAGGCTTAACTTTTGCTTTCTCACTAGAGACTTGTTTATTTGTGTCCATAGTTGTTATTCCCAGAATCCAGGCAGGTAACAAGCTTTCTCATATCTTCCTGAACTGGTAGGTGGATTTTTTTCTAGTCCATTCTATATGAGGAGGGCAACCATCAATGGCTTTGTGAAGACTGAAATGTCTGAAATGTTATGGCTTCCCACCTCATTCGTGGCTAAAATCTCTGTCCCTACTTGGGGGTAGAAAGCCCAGCATTTGTCTTTTAGGGCCTGGTGCTCCTTTACCGATCTGACTTCTAGTTCCCTCTTCATTTACCGACCCCTGGCTTATCGCTTCTTTCTTCCAAGCTTGGCTATATTGTTTTTTGTTATGTGTTATCTGGAAAGCTTGTGTATAGAGGGGAGTCTATTTTATTTTCAATTCTTTTTTTTATTATACTTTAGATGAAGGTTTATAGAGCAAACAAGCTTCTCATTAAACAATTAATACACATATTGTTTTGTGACATTGGTTACCAACCCCACGACATGTCAACACTCTCACCTTCTCGACCTTGGGTTCCCCATTACCAGCTTTCCTGTCCCTTCCTGCCTTCTTGTCTTTACTTCTGGACTGGTGTGCCCGTTTAGTCTCACTTTGTTTTATGGGCCTTGCTAATCTTTGGCTGAAGGGTGAACCTCAGGACTAACTTCATTACTGAGCTATAAGGGTGTCTGGGGGCCATACTCTTGGGGTTTCTGCACTCTCTGTCAGACCAGTAAGTCTGGTCTTTTTTTTTTTTTTTTTTTTTTGTGAGTGAGAATTTTGTTCTACATTTTTCTCCAGCTCTGTCCAGGACCCTCTATTGTGATCC